GATTATTCTAATTTAATAAAATGAAGTTATCTATACTTCTGTTCTATATATATCTTCCATCAGATGTAATGAATCTTTTAGACATTTTGAATAAATTAAAAGTTATTTTAATTAATGAAATTTTAATATATAAATCGAATTATTTAAATCAATTAAAAATCATCCTTATATTTATGATTTTTGCAAGAATTTCCATCATTTTTGGCAAATATATTGGCCAATTTCAAAGTGCAAATTTCCAAACTTTTTTGCTAACTTTCTTGACAATTTTGGGGTAATTCATAGGAAAATAATCAGAATTGGCAAAATAGTTGGCATAATTTTTGGCCATTTTTATGCCTTAAGCAAAACTATAAGTACTACCATTTTATTCTTTTATCTTAACCATAATAGGACAATAAGGAAAGATTTTTTGTTAATACTCAAAGTATCTAAAAATGCATTTCTGTACAAATAAAAACTGAATTTAGGATTAGAAAAAAAAATGGAAAGGTATCATCCTTTAACGAGTAAAAATATTAAAAGTAAATACATCTAACAATTACTTCATAGCATTTGGGAAAAAGTGTATAATTAGAATCCTCAATACATTTGCCTCAGTTCTCTGGTTTCCAATTATATTAAGTTCAAACAAAATTGGCATTTACAAATTTTAGTTTTTTTTGATATTATAGCTTGGTTTGTTACATTTAAGGTGTTTATTGTTGTACACCTTTGATTTGGTTTAAAAACAATTGATTATAAGAACTCAACAATTCTAAATTTGAAACTACCAAATGCTAATTTAAAACCATCAGAAGAGTAATAATTTGAAATAACACCAGATGAATAATCATATAATTTGGCTTTTCAATATCCAGTCTTAATATTCTCTAAAAGGGATAGACTTATCATAACTACCAGCATCTAACATAGTACTATCAGGAGAGTAACAATTTGAAATAACACCAGATGTATGATCATATATTTTGGCTTTCTATTATCCAGTCTTAACATCCTCTAAACAGATAAACTTATCGTCACAACCATAATCTAACATAATAATATCCGGAGAGTAACAATTTGATATATTTTGGCTTTTTATTATCCAGTCTTAACATCCTCTAAACAGATAAACTTATCGTCACAACCATAATCTAACATAATAATATCCGGAGAGTAACAATTTGATATATTTTGGCTTTTTATTATCCAGTCTTAACATCCTCTAAACAGATAAACTTATCGTCACAACCATAATCTAACATAATAATATCCGGAGAGTAACAATTTGATATATTTTGGCTTTTTATTATCCAGTCTTAACATCCTCTAAACAGATAAACTTATCGTCACAACCATAATCTAACATAATAATATCCGGAGAGTAACAATTTGATATATTTTGGCTTTTTATTATCCAGTCTTAACATCCTCTAAACAGATAAACTTATCGTCACAACCATAATCTAACATAATAATATCCGGAGAGTAACAATTTGATATATTTTGGCTTTTTATTATCCAGTCTTAACATCCTCTAAACAGATAAACTTATCGTCACAACCATAATCTAACATAATAATATCCGGAGAGTAACAATTTGATATATTTTGGCTTTTTATTATCCAGTCTTAACATCCTCTAAACAGATAAACTTATCGTCACAACCATAATCTAACATAATAATATCCGGAGAGTAACAATTTGATATATTTTGGCTTTTTATTATCCAGTCTTAACATCCTCTAAACAGATAAACTTATCGTCACAACCATAATCTAACATAATAATATCCGGAGAGTAACAATTTGATATATTTTGGCTTTTTATTATCCAGTCTTAACATCCTCTAAACAGATAAACTTATCGTCACAACCATAATCTAACATAATAATATCCGGAGAGTAACAATTTGATATATTTTGGCTTTTTATTATCCAGTCTTAACATCCTCTAAACAGATAAACTTATCGTCACAACCATAATCTAACATAATAATATCCGGAGAGTAACAATTTGATATATTTTGGCTTTTTATTATCCAGTCTTAACATCCTCTAAACAGATAAACTTATCGTCACAACCATAATCTAACATAATAATATCCGGAGAGTAACAATTTGATATATTTTGGCTTTTTATTATCCAGTCTTAACATCCTCTAAACAGATAAACTTATCGTCACAACCATAATCTAACATAATAATATCCGGAGAGTAACAATTTGATATATTTTGGCTTTTTATTATCCAGTCTTAACATCCTCTAAACAGATAAACTTATCGTCACAACCATAATCTAACATAATAATATCCGGAGAGTAACAATTTGATATATTTTGGCTTTTTATTATCCAGTCTTAACATCCTCTAAACAGATAAACTTATCGTCACAACCATAATCTAACATAATAATATCCGGAGAGTAACAATTTGATATATTTTGGCTTTTTATTATCCAGTCTTAACATCCTCTAAACAGATAAACTTATCGTCACAACCATAATCTAACATAATAATATCCGGAGAGTAACAATTTGATATATTTTGGCTTTTTATTATCCAGTCTTAACATCCTCTAAACAGATAAACTTATCGTCACAACCATAATCTAACATAATAATATCCGGAGAGTAACAATTTGATATATTTTGGCTTTTTATTATCCAGTCTTAACATCCTCTAAACAGATAAACTTATCGTCACAACCATAATCTAACATAATAATATCCGGAGAGTAACAATTTGATATATTTTGGCTTTTTATTATCCAGTCTTAACATCCTCTAAACAGATAAACTTATCGTCACAACCATAATCTAACATAATAATATCCGGAGAGTAACAATTTGATATATTTTGGCTTTTTATTATNTTACACCTTTGATTTGGTTTAAAAACAATTGATTATAAGAACTCAACAATTCTAAATTTGAAACTACCAAATGCTAATTTAAAACCATCAGAAGAGTAATAATTTGAAATAACACCAGATGAATAATCATATAATTTGGCTTTTCAATATCCAGTCTTAATATTCTCTAAAAGGGATAGACTTATCATAACTACCAGCATCTAACATAGTACTATCAGGAGAGTAACAATTTGAAATAACACCAGATGTATGATCATATATTTTGGCTTTCTATTATCCAGTCTTAACATCCTCTAAACAGATAAACTTATCGTCACAACCATAATCTAACATAATAATATCCGGAGAGTAACAATTTGATATATTTTGGCTTTTTATTATCCAGTCTTAACATCCTCTAAACGGGTAAACTTATCATCACAACCATAATCTAACTAAGTACTATCAGAAGAGTAACAATTTGAAATAACATCAGATGAATGATCTTATACATTGGCTTTTTATTATCCACTCTTAACATCCTCTAAAGTGATAGACTTATATAATCACAACCAGATACTAAATTAGTACCATTAGGAGAGTAACAATTTGATATAACATCAAATCAATGATCCTATAATTTTGCTTTTTATTATCCTATCTTACTATCCCATAAACTGATTGATAGTTATCCTTACTACCAGAGCCTAATGTAGTACCATCAGGAGAGTTACAAATTGAATAAACTCTATTTTAATGATCATTTTATAAATGTCTTTTAATGTAAATAATATAACTATAATATTATATCTAGAAAAGCATCGACAATCTTTGTAATTCTTTCAAGTATCTGTTTTAAAGAGTGTTAATACATTACCTTTTGCAAGCGATCATTGTATAGCTTCTTCCAAATCTACAAATTTATAAATGATTATCATCTAGATAATATATTGAATATTTTATCAGTGGGATCTACATTCCAGAGATCAATCCTGAAGAAGATTACAATGGAAATGTTAAGAATGTAAGATTATGGAAACGCAGTCGCATAGTATATTGTCTCGCTTTTATCGCAACCATTATATTGATAGTGACTCAATTTTCCTATTCTGATCTATTTGCGAACAATGCCTACATGTTCCTGATATTTCTAAAGATCTTATAAATATATCATCTAAATAATAATTTCAATAAGTAATATATTAATATCTCATAAATTTTGGGGGCATATTGAATTCAAATTATTTGCTTTAGCAATTATAATGATAGATAATAATGAAGGTGTTAATGACTCTAACATCATTCATTAAAAGATAATAGAAGAAATTGCTTAATTCCTTCAATAATGCTTACTATTAATTTTATTTACAATCCTAGGTTATTTGGCTCTTCAATAATTAATCTGAAAAGTATTTCTTAATCTCTTACCACATTTACTTGAAATCTCTTTTCTTTATAGTATTTTCGAATTTAACCGCTTATTCATAATTCCATAATTGAGGTTTTTCATTCTGAATTTTTTTAGTCATTATTTTGAGATGCTCAACAGAAGTGAAATGACTCAATCTAGTTTTTTCAGCAATTCTTCTTTAGCATTAAGAACAATAAAGGTGTTATTCTTCATCCAGCCAAATTAGTTTTTTTAATTCTTCTTCCTAATCCTAATCCTAATCATCATTCTTTTTTTTTTCATCAATTTGATCCTAAACATCTAATTATATTGGTTTGATGATGTCTCGCAAATCTTCATTGAAGTTTAAAAAGGATTTGTCTTGCTCGTCTAAATCTGAATCCAACATTATTATTATTATTATTAAATATTTTCTTTATTTCCTGGTGTTATTTGGGTAAAAAAAATTACAAATTAATATAAGGTTAATATTTTCATGTTTTAATTTGTATTAGATGCTTCAGCTGAAAAAAATTTCCTCACATCCTAACTAGACAGTTATTTGACTCTTTTCTTAAATGATCTGGAGAATATTCAGAAAGGTTAAAAGTTTAAAGCCAAATGCAGGGGGCTAAATTCAATATCCGAAGAAAAAGCTATATTTCATTCATGCTATATCTGGAATCCAGTAATTCATAGATGTTAATTTTATGGAGTGAGAGAAAGGATGTATAAGTAAGAGAATAAATCTCTAAAGTAAAAGAGACATTAATTCTTAAGATCAGTTAAAAAGTAAAATCAAATTTTTGGGCAATTCATTATTTCAGCTGATAGAACTCTATCCAACATTTATCAAAATTTAAAGGCTTTACCAACATTCCCTCGAAAATGTTGTTGTATATTTCATATAAGTTTGCTCCACATATAAATATTGTATCAAGCTAATTAAGCTGAATAGGATAAAAATTTCATCAATAAATTAAAAAAATTAATTTATGTTTTAAAATCAAGAATGACTTAAAAATAAGAAATTGCTTTTATATAAAACATAGTGCAACGTTAAGATATAGATAACACGAATATATTTTATAGAGGATATGGAATGATACAAGTGTTTAAATTACCTGATTTAATCAAATTTGATCTAAGTGGATTTGGAACTTAATTGCTCAATATTTTTTTTTTCCTTATGATAAATAGATTTTATTGCAAGCACTTATTTTTAATTTAAAGTTATTGGAAACTCAATTAAATGTATTTTTAATTTCAATTTTGAATGAGATTCAATCTATATATTATCATAAAATATCTTCATTATATAGCATGGTTAATCATTTCAATCTTGAAATACTTCTCAGATTTTAATGGCTTTGTACAACCCTAAACAAACAAAAAAAGGTATTAGGAATATATTTACCTTGTTAGAAATAATTTTAAAGGTGAATTTTTTAAATGGTAGTTAATTTTTCCTTAAAATGAATGAAAATTTAACATTTTCCTTTAGATTTTGGAAATTTTCAAAGTCACCAAAAACGGTGCGGTACCTACTGCCCGAATATAGTAGGGTCCTCTTACCCTACGGCCGGAATACGAATGTCTATCCGTTTATGGGATGTTAAGACAGGATAATAAAAAGCCAAATTAGATGGTCATTCAAATTATGTTAATTCAATTTGTTACTCTCCTGATGGAACTACATTAGCATCTGGTAGTGTAGATAAGTCTATCCGTTTATGGGATTTTAAGACAGGATAATAAATAGCCAAATTAGATGGCCATTCATCAACAGTTTATTCAGTCAATTTCTCATCTGATGGAAATACATTAGCTTCTGGTAGTGATGATAACTCTATCCGTCTTTGGAATGTAAAAACATCAAAGGAAATACTCCAATCAGATAGCAGCTATAAAGATTTGCTTTCCTAGTTCAACATACCTCTTCAGAATAGCTCCTTATTGCCAAATGGTATTTATTATTAATTATTATTTAGTTAATCCTTATTGTACAATACTTAGAATCTGTTAGAATCCTTTGTTTCAAGCATCAGGAACACTTATCTTACAAGGACAATTCATGAATTATTAAGGAATAGATTTAAAACCATTGTTCAAATCCAAAGGAAGTTGCTTTTTAGAAGACTTAAAGCAAAAGAAGTGAATTTGAATATTCATTAAAAACATTGCAATTATAATTTTAATCATTTTCTTATAACTTTTTTGCATAACATGTATTTTTTGTTACTCTTTAAATATTTTGGATAATATTGAGATGTTAGAAACAACGTTTATAAATTAATATTTATAGACGTATATATTATTAAATTTATAATATAAACAGAGTAAACAGGTTTAGTCCAAATAATGATTACTAATAGTTTAGTATATTTTAGATTTTCAGTTTTAATAAAGATAATGATACATTTAAGAACAAAGATAAGAAAAAAGATAAATTTCAAAAATTACAAAAATATTGATAACAAAGTTAAAACATTGGGATTGAATGATTTTTAAAATTACTATTTTCTTAACATATTGTTTATTATTTTCAATTGATATTAATAGTATTAGATAGAATAAAGTATTGAAAAGATATATTAATCATCAATAAGTATTCTAACCCTAAAAGGATTTAGATCATTATTTATCCATTCCTAACAAACATCTAATCATCTTAAATAAGCATTATGTGAATTACATCGAAAAGCTACTTTCCACTATAATTTTGCATATATATAATGAACAGTTATTAACCACTCAGGTAGGAACTATAAAATTACAAAATTACCCAAGATTGGATTTCATAAACATAATTGAGAATATTAAAAAATAACAAAATT